GCTTGGTTATGGTAAGTTCGGACAGGGCCTAAGAACAGTGTTATTTGGACGATAGGAGTTATTGAAAGATTTATGCCTTGCTACAGTGTTGACCCTGCTCCTGGCAGGATTCTAGGACCTGTCTATAATGTTGGCAGGGTCTGTGAACCGGTATTTGGAACTGTCGGAACTCGGGGGCAAGACCTGACCTGCTATTTTTCTGTTTGAGCTCAGATCTCGGGCTCAGGTTTCGGAACACATCCGAACCGCCGCTGTAGGTAGGAAGTACTACCGTACTAAGGGTTGCGAGTTGTTGTACTATATGAACAGTGTTTTGTGCATAGGTCTTCCTTTTTTCGGGTCTGACGGGCGAAGACCCGCAGTCGTTTCCGGAGATGATTGCGGTGTTGACGAACGGCGGTGGGAATGTGGATGGTAGGGAGAGGAGACGGGGGCGAAGTTGGCAGGTAATCCCCCAGAAGATGGCCATGTGGCGGTGGCCGAAACCGGTCGGGGTAGCCATACCCACCGGACTTGTGTGACTTCACTGTTCTATTCACTGTTTTATATTTTGTACACTTGATTCTGACTTGGAATAAGGCTTTGTTATGTGTGCATGTTTGTCTTCTGACACAAAAAACTATGATACAACACTTGAGGCAAATGTACCTGGGAGAGCCCAAAAAAAAAAAAAAAAAACAAAAAACACCACTCTTTAGTGGTCGTCTCGTTCACCGTGAACGGCCGTTAAAAAAAAAAAAAAAACACCAAATAAACGGTCGGTCACGTTCAAGTGACCGGTGCTGTTCACGTTCACGGGATTGACACTGGCGCGCGACGATTTTCAGCGCGCGCCCCCACCTGGGCGTGACTCGGCCTCGCGCAGACTCGGCCTCGGGCTTGCGGACTAGGAGGTCAGTCACGGATTAGGCTATAGGATCTGCGGTCGATGGTGCCACGTAGCTATCAGCGCCAGTGCCGAATGGCATGACATAGGAAACTGCTCCAGCCATGTCTGCTTCACCAGCAAAAAGCTTAGTGTACCATTCATTCGGCGATAATATTGGTCTCTGCCTCATAGAGAAAAGGAACAAAACGAGCTTTGTAAACACCACCGTGTGACAACGGGCAATACGGATTCCAACACGCTGAAATACATCAAAGATTCATCAGGTTAAGGTCGGATCGTCCATATGATAGAAATATCGTCAAACCGTATCCAACTTGGCAAAGTGGAGTCGACCACCTCTCTGGCAAACAGAGTGGCCCAAAAGGGCCCTATGAGTGTGTGATGAGAAACGAAACCCCCACAAGCATCGTCGCAACGAGTTGCAAAGCTCAAGTACGATGAATGGTTCTATCATGGTTGTACGACAACCAACAATGAGACTTGAAATCCATTGTATTGAGGACGCGGGAGATCAATATGCCGAAAAAAAATGTTATTCAACAATCACTATAGCCTAACAAACAGTTCCTCATTGATCAATGTGTGCATTGCCGCTCAACTGAAGGGAAGGGCACACGTGATCCGAAAAGAAGGGAGGGGAGAGGAGAGAGGAAACGACAATTTTGTCAAAATGGGCATTTTTATTTTTTTTTATTTTTTGAACGAAATTGAAACTGAGTCTTTTGGCCGAAAACGCGTATAAATTTGCTATTCATGAGGGTCCAGCGTTTTACAAACGCTGGACCCCCTAGCTGTACAAGGACCTAGCTTGAGACCAGGCACCTCCAAGTAGGACTGTTTGGAAGTACTTGGTCTGAAGCTAGGTCCATGTACAGCCTGGGGGTCCAGCATTTTACAAACGTCGAACCCTCAGAAACAAAAAATTTTGATGTGTTTTCGGCCAAAAAACTCGCTTTCAATTTCGTTAAAAAAAAAAACATGTCCAGTTTGACGAAATGGCAGTTAGGAGAAGAGAGGGAACAAGGAAGGAATGGAGGGGAGACACTCAATAAATAACCACCCATCATCCAAATAAGGAAGGTCATCGAAAACTCATGAGTGCAAATAACGCTCACAAAATGGTACTTTCAATAACAGGGGATTTAGCAAAGCATAAGGAATCGAAGACCAAGAAAACATCATCAGTATCTCAACCAAACATTCACCATAAGGGCTTGAAAATGTCGAGCAAGCTTCAACTAGAGTATTTGATATCAGGCGATGACCTCGCCCTAACATGTCACTGATCCTATTCCGGACGAAACTGTTTCAAAGACAAACCGCTGCCCAAAAAGCAAGGCCACAAATGACATTGTAAAGGGAAAAAGAAGCACAAAGAACCATGAAGCATGTCCATTGTGAAGTACAGCCTTACACCACCCTGAGAGGACTATTAATGTTGCTTCGAATAAAAGTCCCATCCACATGGGTGTCGAACCAAGAACCCATGCCCATGTACCAATCCCCCCATCCCTTTCTTTTCATCCACCATTATGGTCAACATCCTCCCATACCCTCTAATTCCGCCAGCTCCGACATCACCCAATGCCTCCACCATGACTACAGAGAGCAAATCCGACCGTACTACGCCCATCAATCATGACCAATGCAAGGGACGAAAACCTAAAGGAAAAGAATAGTGCTAGAACTGCCAGCATCGCCTCTCCTCCAACAAGATACCATACAGATGAGTCTACCATCATGCAAACTCCATTTCCTTCCCCACCCCCTTTCTACGACACCAACATAGTCAAAATGACCCCAGTCATTATTGCGGAAAAAAACAGAGAGAGTATCAACACCCTTCGGAAAGTGACGTGGTGATCCATGTGAGCCCCCACTATGCCAAACACCTTTCCCTTCCGCCAAGGATCTCCGAACAATTACTCCGTACCAAACGCTGGCAGCATAAAGCTCTATACCGATGTTCCTCAATACATGCTTTGAAGGTCAGATATCCCAGTAGAATGGAGATGACGAGTACGATCCCAAGCACAAAGACTGCAGACTCCATCAATGTAAGCGGTGGTTGCACAAAACTCTTCACGCCCACTCAGCTGCAACCATGAGCTACTACAAATTATCCATAATCAACAAGGGCAAACATGTATGGAGGCAAGGAGGTTAGGCAACATAAAGCATCCATATGGAGAAGAGGAAGAGTGAAAGGAAGGCAGAGAAGAGGAATGAGAATAAGAATGTCCCAATTCGGTCAAGCGGCTCCATGTGCGCCGACATAACAGCAAGCAGGGGTGGAAAGTCTCAAAGGTCTTTTCGCCAATTCCTACCTGGATTGGCTCATCAGGGGAAAAGGAGCCCCGCCGTTTTTGTTCCGAAAGAGACGAAGCTCTTACAAGCCCATTAAAAGGTATGAAAAAGGGAGGGAGGGAGGGAGAGAGGAGGGAAAAGCGAACGGAAGAATGAGGGAAGAATAGATCGAGATCATATTCGCGAGGAGTGTGATGCCGAAGCCGCCGTTGCCCCGCTCATGGCGCAGACAAGGAACACCGCTCGAAATCGGAATTCACAGTCGAGGTATCAAGCCAAGGTGGGAGAGGATGAGACAGGGAGGGGAGATAGAGAGAAAGAGCGGGAGCTAGGGGAAGCGTGAGATCCGAGGGTGAGAGAAAGTGTTAGGGGAACTCCGAGCATGGGTGTTTCTTCCGCGCTCCAGGGACTAGTGTTTCGATAGAGGAAGGACCACCGTCGAGAGCGATCACTCCTGAAGGCGCAACGATTGAGGATTGATCAAACCGTCATCAATTGATTAAATACCATCAGATGGTGTGAAGAAAACCAAGTCTGTTAGACCAGCCCCAGGGTGTCAGGGTTTTCCCATATTAGGGCCTTCGAATGAAACAGCTCAAACAGGGGGAATCTCCTGAGGAGTCCTAGATTTTGACTCCAAAAGTCCATTTCAGATTAAAGGGGGGAATTCCGCAGGCGCTTGCGCATATACTTTGTTCGTGAAAGCGTGTGCTCCCGACCGAATCTTCCCTCATGCTTCTGGCATGAGAGGTGGCCTCTTTTTCTTACTACGGGCCCAAATTGCCGCCAATTATGCATCATCAGTAAGAAGACCCATAACCTTATTGCCAAATACGTGACTTATTACTATATATTGGGAGTATCCCTGCCATATTACCGATCGATGAGCCTAGTTGTCCATCCTATGCAGAAGAATCCACCAAATTTATCCTATCGTTAAGCATCATTATTTTTTACCTTTCCTTTATATATATAATTTCTTTTGTTATTATTTATCTTATATATTTTAATTTTTTATACCCTCCTCAATCCTTTATTGCTATTTTTTTTTTCTTTTTCTTTAAAAAATCCTACCCCATCATTGGCCGCAGGGGGAGGCCGGTGTTCCGCTGCGCGTCGGAATCGGGGTGAAGTTATGATGTGGGCCAGCGGATGAAGGCGATTGAGGGAGGGGGGGCGTGCAGAGTGGTGCACGTACCGAAATGTTCACACCACGCCAGAAAATGAGAGAGCGCGCCCACAGGCCCCAGTGGCAGCGGACGTCGATGTGAGGGAATATGTCAAAATGCCCGTCATCGGATAGCAAGAAAGTGTCGTTTTGTGGCCCGCCCCATTTTTTGAATTTAGTTTTCGGCCGTTTTTTTTTTCCCCCTTCCTTCTTCTCTTTCATTTTTTCGATCTCTTTTATTTTCCCCTCCTTTTCTTTCTTATTTTCGGCTCTGTTTTGACAGTTTCTGTTTTGTTTTTTGCGTTTTTGCGGCTTTTTTTTTGTTTTTGGTGTTTTCACACGGGCGGTGACAAAACAAAAGAGGCGGCTTCGACAAAGAAAAGTTGGCGGGAAAACGAAAAAAATTTTGGAGGACCCACCCACCCACCACCCACACTCACGCAGGAGCGCCCGCCCTCCTACCTACCCACCCACCCACCCACCCATACGCACGCAGGTGCGCTGCAGCCTTGGTGTCATGATTAGAAACACATACTATGTTTCCACAAATGGATACACACATACACACCAACACACACACACACACTAATATATGTTAGTGACTTAGTATTAGTATTTGAAGCTTGCTCATAGTCGTTGTGGTTGGGGAGGGGTTTGAACCCATGCATAGATTTTGAAATACCCAATTGCCCGATCAGATAACCACTTAGGTGGACTGGGTACCTGTCTGCCATTGGGGACTTCTTTCGTTTGAAGTGTATCCGACGTCTGGCTGTTGGCACGAAGGATGTGCCTGTGTATCCAAACCCTAATGTTGCACAGTGTGGCAGGCGGGTCAAGTCCACAAATGAACATAGTATCCACCGCAGGAGGAGGAGGAGGAGGAGGAGGAGGAGGAGGAGGAGGGGGAGGAGGAGGAGCAAGAGGAGCAAGAGGAGGAGGAGGAGGAGGAGGAGCAGGAGGAGCAGGAGGAGAAGGAGGAGCAGGAGGAGGAGGAGGAGGACGAGGATCCATTCGTGCTCGTGCGCTTAAGCGCAATCAAATGGTTAGATAGGTACCAACCACTCCCCTTCGCATAATTAGCATTCGTGTTCGAGACGACAGGAGCCGTGGTAACCACCAGAGTCGAGGTTGAGGGTAGAGGAGATAGAGGGGCAACAGGGAGAGCAAGAAGAGGTTGACTGGACGCAATCACACTGTTCTTATTAACATTAGAGACATTCTCAAGACACGGACACCAACGAGCAAAATGATTGGGATGACCGAAATTGAAACTGGTAGTCACCCACGTAGCTGTGGACACATTAGCCATCTTCTACCAAATAATGATGAATGATTGAGGGATACAACCTGTAACTCGATGCCATACCGAACGTAGTGTGATTCCTGTGATAGTTACCTCATGAAATAAAGTGTTAATTGGAAATTCATCACATTGGAAATGAAGGCAAACATAGAGCACATCACAGCGCGTGCAGGACGGTTTATTAGCAAACATCCACACCACACCAAGACTCATGTCATCAGGGGAGGGAAGAGGAAAGAAGAAAGTATAAGACGACGAAGAAGAAGAAGAAAAAGAAGAAAGAGAGAAAGAGAGAGAGAGAGAGTACGCAAGACACCGATGTATCCCAAACAGGACTTTAAAGATATAACAGCAGTACCATGGCAACGTGGTCCTTGCGTTTCAGCTGTCCACCAACAACACTCATCAGGGGTCTCGGTCACGGAGGTGCTGTGATGCCCCGGTCCTCACGCCCACCACGACTTCCTGTTTTCGGAGTCTTAACGGGCCTGGAAGTGCGGAAAGGGGTGTGCCAAGGATTTTAGGAAAGTGGGGGTGGAGTTTCACGTCGGAACTGAAATCTCATATGTCAAGTTCCGGGGGTAGAAGTGGAAGCGTCTCTTTCAGCTCAGAGTTGGGGTGATGGCTGACCTAGCAGCCTGATCCACATGTCGTGTTAGAGTGGGGCACCGCGGGCGTCCAAGTGGGAATGCTCGTACCGCTGTCGGCCGACGCAAGCCTTGGAGGCAGGGGAGGATGAGCTGTGCTCCGGTTGTTCCGTTTCAAAAAGGGTTCGTCGAGTGATCTCTGCCGGATGGTATTGGTCGTGCGGTTGACACTCTGAGCACGGTGGGCGGGGCCTGGACTGGGCTATGGACTCCCAGGGGACGACGAGTAGTTGGTGATACGGGAGGACGACGTAATAGGGAGGGAAACAAGTGGTGATGGCCACGAAGCCGGGGGTTAGAAGGTAATGTTGGCATCGGCTATTGGGATAATCCGGAATCCGCGAGTCTCGGTTAATGGCTAACTGGAAATCGCCTCTACACAGTTGCTTGTTTCCAGTTCGGCCGGGGTACTCGGGATTCCTTGAGTTTCGTTGTCGTCAGGCTTGTTGTCGTGGACTTGTTCCCTTACCCAATACGCTCCGTATTCCTGACTCTCAGGCTCGCACGGTCGGTAATGCAAAAGGGAGGTTCGATCGCCATATCCTATTTAGCAGAATTTGACACAGGCATCTTCCATCAGTGGAATCGGGTTGGCTCTTGCACGCGCATGCCTAGGCTGCAAGTCACCTTTGTGGGCGGCTGCCTGACGCATGCGTGTGCATGAGCCGGTCGATTGGATCAAAAGACCACGTGCGAGTTCGTCGTTGAAGAGCGATTTGCTTGCGTGTCGATTTTATCCAATATGCATGCAACTATTCCTTACGTACAACTGTAATCCAGATCTCAGGTAGACTAACCTTTGCATCCATGCTCACATCATCATATACAGGAGAGGGCGGAGTTAGTTTAGCATCCAGAACCAACGACCCCCATGGTCCTCGCGATCATTCGCGGCTCAAGAAAATCAAGCAATTAAACAAGATGCGCGAGAGATCATACGCGCCATACAAGCGAGTAATCGAAAGTGACGAAATTGAAATTGTGCATAACAAAGTTGGAGATTACCAACAACTCAAAAAAAGGATTCATTCTCATGCATACATACACACAAGCAGATAGTTCGAGATGACTCACAAAGGAAGTCCAAAAGGTGCCTGAGCAAAAATTAACCAACGTTGCAATAAAAAACTTTACCTAGAAGATAAGGAAAAGAAAAAAACGACAATGTTCCACCATATCCCCGTCTCTCTCTCTCTCTCTCTCTCTCTCTCTCTCTCTCTCTCTCTCTCTCTCTCTCTCTCTCTCTCTCTCTCTCTCTTTCTTTCTTCCCTTAATCCGGGCAGTCCGTCGCCCTACATTCCTAAGCCACAAAGAGTCGTCACCCCGCTTGGCCCGAGTGAGCAAGCCAGGTTCGCCCACGTGCAGCAGTCCTTCGTGACACCCTGCGCACTCAGCGCTAACTCTTCGGATCGCCCAACTTTCATGCTCACTCACCGTCCAAAACTTGCTCGTTAGCCGACCCTCACTGATCACGTTAACTTCGAGGTTCTTAGAGAGCCAACTAATCGAGCTTGCGAAATTTGTTGCATGCATGCTTGAGCGAGGGATACGGGATTAACACCAAGTGATGAGGAAGAGAAAAGAGGGAGTGCCTACGTCTGCATGTCCAGGCTGCGGCGCGGGGGACGAAGCCACTCTCCGTGCATCGATCCGAGCATGCAACTGTGGGAACCACTTAGAACAGAGGAAAAACGTGCATGCGAAGACGAAGCGGGAAAGAAGGAAATGCGAAAGCCATCAAGAACAAGAAGATTACAGTTGCGATTGAGCCCGCCAAAAACTACAGTTACACATAGGATTAAGGCGTGGACGGAATCAGAACCGAGACCCTGTCGGGGCACGGTGCGTGCGAGCGAGAAGCGTCGTGCCGCCAAACTGCAAGGTGCCTAAATTCCTAGTCTAAGTCCTAAATGCAAGAGAAAATTCTGAAAAGAACAATTCCAAGAGCCTGCGGGGGCTCGGCATTAGTTCAAATTCCAAAATCGAAAATTCCCACGCGCTGATCACGCCAAAATGCCTAGTGCGCATAGCAGAACAAGAAAGAAGCTACGGCAACCGTTATTTCTCACGCTCGCTAGGGTGCGGTCACTTAATCGTCGGCGCGGGACTTTCCCGACAACGGTCCGACAACTCCAACAAAAACGAAAAAGAAGCGAGGGCATCCAGACAACTTGCCCCACCGATCCCACTTGCGCCCCGCCACCCATCAAGACCCTCCATTTTCCCCACAGTGTCTTTGCGCAGGAAGTCGCGCGATTGCAGAAGATAGGTCGTCACATATGTGACTCCCAGGGGGTTCCAATCTTGTGCAAGCTCCTGCTTGCACTCATATCTCTCCAGGGTGCACGTGTCATAACTGTAGGATAAGAGTGTGGAAGTCATCTTGTTGACACGTGTTGATCCCTGCACCCATTTTAGTGTTCCGAGGAGGGGGGGTAGGGAAATCGGAATGCGGGGGACGGGGGGTGGGGGATGTTCTCTCGGGAGTGTGGGTAAGAAGCGGGTCATCCCTGCTACTCTTGTGGGAAGTTCAAGGTATCGGACAGTGCGGTGTATGCGTGGGAAAGGATAACTGCCATATGGAAGGGAAGCGAGGCAATCAGGATAGAGAGTGGAAAGGGTACGAAGTACGGCCGCGCGGAACTGCTCGTGGTCTTTGCGCACAGGGATAGTCCCTGTGATGGTGCAGTAAACTTCGCTCACATTATGATCCCTCCAGGTGGCGCTGAAAAGAAGGATGTGAAGGCAAAAGGAGGAAAAGACGCACGGAGTGGCGGGTGGGGTAGAACTTGTAGAAGAGGGAGGAGGGGAAAGGATTTTGGGGAAAGATGAGGGGAGTATCTTTCTGCTAGAACGTAAGCTAATCAAGAGGACGACGGGATAATGACTGGGAACGTAAGGTAATCAAGAGGACGCCGGGATAATGACTGGGGACGACGGGATAATGACTGGGGATCGGGTTCGTTGCCTCCGTGTCGGCGCGCTCGAAACCTCTGCGGCGCAGCGGTCATCTTCCTCCGTTGGCGGCTCCAGATCTCTGGTCAGATCGTCCAAAATCGGCAAATCAGTCCCCGCCGCTTGTTCCAACGTCCGCTTTCCCTCCGCGATTTCTGCCCGGCGTCGCTCAGTCGCAACAAGGTCCTCTTCTTGTGTTCCCAGGTGTCCTGCCTTCTCTTCCTCGCTTTTGTCCTCCTCCTCCTCTTCACTTTTTGCCCCCGACTCATGCTCACTGTGCTCGCTGTAACAATCGTCCTCTTCGGGGGTGTCCTCTAACTCGTCTCCCTCTTCCTCTTCTTCTTCCTCCTCTTCCGACGTCGGCTCCCCTCGATCCACGAAGAGGAGGTCGACTATCTCCGCGGGTTTCAGGTAGTTACCGTATGACGGGTAACTACGGTTGTCCCAACCACCCTCCAAGCATGCCTACGACTGTACATATGGCGTCAAAGTGCGCGGGAGAATATGCGGCGCCGGGCTCTCATCGCAGTGCGAGACGATATCGATCGACAAATCGTTCAGCAGCTGCGTAAAGAGGATCAAGAGTTCCCTGACGATCAGCTGCCGATGTCCCGCCTCCACCGATCCGAAGACAAATCCCAATAAATCTCCTTCCACTGCTGTTCTCCACGCCTGAATGATGAGTAACTCCACGTCCTCGTTCGCGGCGGGGTGAATGTTCTTTCTTGTCCACTTCAGCCAACTAAGCACAGAGATAGCGCCTCATAAGTTTGCCACCACCCTTGCCACTGTTGAGACTTGATAAGGGGGACCGTTAGTGGTTGTACTCGGAAAGAGAGACAAGGGAGAAGCGTTGACTGCCAGGAAACAGGGAAGGCAGAGGGGAGGCTAAAGGTGGAAAACCTGTGATGGTTCATTGAGGACGCTAGAAGACGGTAAGTGCAGGGAGAGATATCGCGGGATTCTTCCGGAGAGTGCGGATGCTGTCCAGGTCAATATTGTTAGTATTGACCACATTATCCCCCTGCTGCGCAAGCAGCTGACTCCAGGAACTTGCCAACTCTTCCCCCCAATCTCACAGTGAGATGAGGATGCTAGGATGCATTTGCGGATCCACCGTGGTGATGTCTCCGCTTAAGGAGATAATCGTCGAAACGTGGCTGGTTCCTGGTGCCGAGAGCCGCAGAAAGGCCGAGGCTTCGGCCAACACCTGTGCCTTGCTGTTTGGTATCACGAGTCGGAACTCTGCTGCCGCATGCACGCTGGTCATGCTGAAAACCTGGGCAAAGCGCAGGACGCCCGGGCTAACACGCGGATGATGAACTTGCCTGAACGCCGAGATGTGTCCGCGTGGCACTAACATCCGCTCATTAAGTACCTGCTCTGTGAAAAAACTGATGGCGAAGACGAGGGAGAAGATCGAGGGAGAGAAGAATGAGACTGGGGGACGTCACTTTCCCAAACGGATCCCGATTCTGAGGGCGACCCTGTTGGAGACGGAGGGGAAGAAGCAAAGAGATGGCGGAGGTAGGACACGTGGCGAACTATGGGC